GGAAAAAAAAATGTGTTTCTACCTTATTCCGTTCTTCCTGGACTTGCGTCTCACCGGCGACATGTTCTCTCATAGAACCGTTCCCTTTTTCTTATTTGCCTACAGTCTATGCTCATCTCCCATCAAAAGTGGCACTGCCCCCTAGAGGCTCAATTTGTTACTACATACTCTGTCTAGAAGCCCATATTTACGGACAAGCTTTAGCAGATCGTCCCCCAGACACTCTCGTTAAAAACATAAAAGACCTCTATAGACGTCTTTGGCAGCCAATGAGTTAAACACGTGTTTTTCAACCCCTGTGCCTCGGGACACTAGTGTGCTGTTAGTGATGGTCAGGTGTGCCGTAGAAAATCATCCTAATTCACCTAATTGGTTTAAAAAAAAAATTCGATAAGGAATCAATTTTCTGCAAATAATATGCCATTTTTGGGTGTCTGTGCTGTTCTAGTGACTGGTGGAGTAATCATGTAATAATTCCTTATGACTAGATTTTGTATATTATTTTGCATAATGAAGTGGACATGTTAATTGCAATTTGAAAGAAGAAATATAAAATATGATAAAAATACATTTTTGTGTTTATTTGATTCCTATTCAAGACACTTAAGATAAGATAAGAATAAAATAAGAATAACTATAGTGTTACTATAGGCGGCTACAGATTTGTTTAACATTTTTGGTTGGTGGTGTGCCTCGGGATTTTTTCAATGAAAAAATGTACCTTGACTCAAAAAAGGTTGAAAAACACTGAGTTAAACACTTCAAACCCCACACCTAGACCCTCTAAAGTGGTTAAAGGGGATAAATAGTGCTGCACCTGTCCGTATGCAAACACGGTGGCGTTGACCCTAACCCTAACCCTGACCCTAACCCTAACCCTGACCCTAAACTTGACCCTAACCCTAACCCTAAACCTGACCCTAACCCTAACCCTAACCCTGAACCTGACCCTAACCCTAAACCTGACCCTAACCCTTTTTCAGTCTGTGAGCTAAAGGGCCAATAAAAACCCTTTTTATTGATTATTTCTGCATCATTTATTTCTTTTTCCATCTCTCTTCTAGAAGTCATTTGTTTTCTTGTTATGTGTAACATGATTTTAGCTAATAAAATCCTACACCTAGTCCCTCTAAAGTGGTTAAAGGGGATAAATAGTGCTGCACCTGTCCGTATGCGAACACGGTGGCGTTGTAGCCCTGCAGGCATCCCTCCACCAGCCGCTCGGTGCAGAGTCGGTAGACGGTTTCCTGGCTGGCGTCCACATCGAACACGTGGTCGAAGGTGAAGGCCTTGTCCTTGCCCAGGAAAACCTGCGGCTCCCCCGGGGTCACAGACGTGCACACGTGGCAGCCCTCCATCCTCTCCCTGGCCAACTGGGGCCGGATCCTGAGGGGCAGGGAAGCAGATTTATCAATCAATCAATCAATTTTATTTGTATAGCACTTTACAATACCCAAATGGTACTCAAAGTGCTTTACAACAAAGCCATAAAACAATACAAAAAACATACAAAACATACAGAAACAACTAAAAATGCTGTAGTGGTGTAGTGGTGCAGGGCATTAAAAGCCTTCCAGAAATGCGTAGAAAGGAGCAGACAGAAAGAGGAAACCTAAGAGACCCTAGTCGGAATTTATGCACTTTTTTACTTCAAAGCATTAAAACAGTCAGTAATAAAGACATTTTGAACTTCAAAGCATTAAAACAATCAGGAAGAAAAGCTTTTTTAACTTCAAAGCATTAAAACAATCAGGAATAAAGACATTTTTTACTTCAAAGCATTAAAAAAAATCAGTAAAACAGCATTTTTAACTTCAAAGCATTAATAAGAATCCGTAAAAAAAGCTATTTTGACTTCAAAGAATTAAAACAATCAGGAATAAAGACAGTTTTTATGCACTTTTTTACTTCAAAGCATTAAACAGTCAGTAAATAAAACAAAAAAAACTTCAAAGCATTAAAACAATCAGTAAATAAAACAAAAAAACTTCAAAGCATTAAAACATCAGTAAAAAAAGCATTTCTGACTCCAAAGCATCAATAACAATCAGTAAGAAAAGCTATTTTGA